GAGGCAAGAGTATGTAATGTATTGCGGTGATAACAGAACAGGCAAAGACAATTTCTAACTGTGCTGATGTAACCTTATACAGCAGAAGAGTATTTTTCTCTGCTTGCACTGTGCTGGCACTGGAATGCAGTCTGTAGCATTCATGTCTTGAGAATTTCTTACCAAAGCTGTACTAACACAAGAAGAAATACTGGAAAGATGAAGAACAACTACTAAAGAGAAACTAGTGGAGAAATACCACTTAAAATAAACACTGCAAAACCACCTCTGCACACAAATCTGAATCCTTACAAAAGTCTGGGGCTTAGCTTCTTCTCTTCCTCTTTCTGTGTTCTGTGTTGTAATGTAGTAGTTTCTACCCTTGCCACCCAAACCTGTGCGAGAAATGCTCAAGGTATGTCTCTGCAAGATTTGTATTTAATACAGATGGCAAAATTCATACACTAAATATGATCTAGAATTTGTGGCTGTGATTTCAAGTGTGGAAAATTACGTTAATCATTTTTTTTAATTATACTGGAAAAACCAAAAATATGAGCTGGTTTATTGCTTAAGTCCATTATTACTATAACAAATTGACTAAGGCATTTTACAGTCAGCTCTGACTCAGGAAGCAATCAGCAATGTTGAACTTGTGTTTGTTAGAGAGGTGTTTTTTTTTCTATGAAGTGTAATGAAAACCTAAAGAGCTTTCTGAACTCAGAAATAGGTCATTGCAGGCACTAAAGTGGAGCATGGGGGAGAACGCAGAGTTTTTAACACCTCTCATATGTACAGGACACAGCAAAGAGAGACTGAGTAAAGAAATCTCTCTGCTAGATAATAAAGTTAGTTAATTTTTTAGATACAAACCCAAGCATTGTTAGACTAAATATAAGGAAATGAATAAAGCTGAAGTATGGCAACAGGTAAATATTTATTCTCCTGAACTCAGTTTATTATGGAAGTGTCATCATGGACCGGGTTATCATTTCAGACAGATACAAATGAGAAGCAAATTAGTATAAATAAAGATCTTTAGTGGAAGTGAGCAAAAAGTTTTATACAAACACTTTGATGCTTAAAAGACTCATAAGGCCATTTACAAGTTCTGGAAACAAGAGCTTGTTCTGTGCTGCCAGTTTCTATTTTATTCAAGCAGGAATAAATTACATA